AGTTCTCGGGCCTGCCCTAGGAGGGCTGTGCCTGCCCTAGGAGGGCTGTGCCCTAGGCTAGTACGGGGCCTAGGTGGCCTGCCTGCCGGAGGGGCTAGGGCCTCTGTCTGCCGTGACCGTAAAGAGGCCCGTGGGGGGGAGAGGGGGGGGGGGAGGTGCACCATGACCATAGTGAGATGGGTTCGGATACGCTCTACAGCTGAGGAGCCGTGAGGGAGGGAGAGAGAGCGGCGTCGCGCGCGTGTGTGGCGTGCGCGCGTGTGGCGTGCGCGTGGGGGGGCGGGGGGGAGGGGGGGCGCAGCCGCGCGCAGGGCGCAGGGGGAGTCTCCAGCAGACTCTCCACGGGCTCGACGCCGCTCGTCCGCGCATGCGCAGGAGTATGACAAGAGATACACACACACACACAGACACACACACACACACACCGCATACCCACGCGCACTGGGCCTTGCACTTTAAATGCCGTGGGAGACGACAGGTAAAAAAAAAGGAGAAGTTTACCTTACCTCTTACCTTACCTGACAAGAGATTGAAGAGGGAAATTCTCTCACCAAAATCTCATCTGTCATCAGTTTAAAGCCGTAGACCCCACTCTTTATCAGCCTGTAAATCACGTTTGTCGTTTCACCTGCTGAGCTGCTCCGTGCTCGGCCCTCGCCGGGTCCCCACCATCGCAAATCGCGACCGCCTCGGGCGGCAACGCGGCGACGAACGCGGCGTCGGTGTCTGCGCCCGGCAGCCGCCGCACGCCGACGACGGCGTAGTTGCGCGGCGAGAGAGCCGGGTCGAAGAGTGGCACGAGGGCGGCGAGGTGGCCCCTCTCGCCGAGGAAGAGGAGCCGGTCGAGCAGCAGCAGCGCCTCCCACAGAGGAGCGAGCAGGGCGCGCAGGGCGAAGAAGACGACGACGCGCCGCCACTGGCCGAGGAGCGGCGCGAGCTCGCTGCCGACCTCCGCCTCCTCCGCCTCGCTCAGCGGCGCCACCCCCGCCTGCCGCAAGCACTGCCGCACGTACTCGCAGAACGGGAGGGAGGCGGCGTTCTTGACGGCGCCGCACTTGGCGCGCTTGAGCCAGCTGTACTCTGGCCTATCTCAGCTCCTGAAGAGTGACTCCCTGTCCACTGGGAGGACATGCGTGGGCATGCTGCCCTCTCGCCTCCGGCGGAGGAGCACGAGCTGATCTTGGCTAATCTCGGCTAATCTCGGCTAATCTCGGCTAATCTCGGCGAATCTCGGCTAATCTCGCCTCCGGCGGAGGAGCACCTCCAGCACTGCGCGCCGGCAATGCACCTGCAGCGGGCCCTGCCCCTCCTCGCCCAGGCTGCCAGCCTACCCGCCGACACACCACACCGCGCCTCACATGCCGCCCGCCTCGCACTCCCCCCCTCCCCCCCCCGAACGACTCTCGGCGCGCGCCTGGCGCAGCCGCTGCGAGTATGCGACGGTGGAGTGGCAGGCGAGCTCGCGTAAGTGGTACCTGCGAGATGTGGGGAGATATGGCGAGCTCGCGCAAGTGGTACCTGCGCGGCCCGCCAGCCGGAGGGTCATCTCGGGTGAGCTCGGGCTCTGCGGGCCGACCCCCACTTCAGCCAGGGGGGGGGAGGCGAGAGGCGCGGCGGCACTCAAGGCGGCAGTTCGAACCACCACCGTGCAGCGCAGCACACGCGCGACGCGCCCCTTGCACGGCGTCTGATAAAAAGGCGCCTCGAGCCCTACCCGAGCCGAAAAGTGTGAGAACCGTCTTTTCACACCTCAAAGCCGCAAGTCTTTTTTGCGCCGTCAAACCGCTCTAGCGGCGCTGCGCGCCGCGTAAAGAGCGCGGCGCGTGCAGAGGAACTCACGCTGCGTACGCACCGCGAAGGCCGTCTCTTGAGTCGGCGATCTGCGCCCTATTCACAGAATAAAGTGTGAACGGCGTCTCTTCACACCTCGAGCCGTGAACGCCGTCTAGCGCCTTCTCGCCGCCCCAAATGGCGCTCCGCGCCGCGCTATCAGCGCCAAACGTGTAGCACAACACACGTGCGACTCGCCCCGTGAACGGCGTCTGGACAAACGGCGCCTCGAGCCCTATCCGA